CCCTAAACCCTACACCGTAAAGCCTACACCCTAAACATACTTGCTGAACCCTGAGATCAAAGAGGTCCTGCCGAGCATGGTTCACGGGAGCCTGCCGGTTTCCGGTTGAAGTTCGTCGCAGGGCTTAGGGTTTTAGGGGTTTAGGGGTTTAGGGGTTTGGGGTTTAGGGCTTTTGGGCGTTTAGGGGTTTAGGTTTTATGGTTTGGGGCTTGTGGGGCTTAGGGTTTAGGGGTTTAGGGCTTTGGGGTTTAGGGCTTTTGGGCGTTTAGGGGTTTTAGGTTTTATGGTTTGGGGCTTGTAGGGTTTAGGGTTTAGGGGTTGACGGGTTGAGGGGTTAAGGATCAGATATTCTTTAGACGTCCAGGAACATGCCATAAGTTACCATGATATGACACGGATACATTGCCAAATGGTAGATGCTACTGTATGTTATCCGTCTCAAAGCAGCTTGAATTTCGCTTCCCCAAACCCTAAACCCTAAACCACAAACCCTTAACCCTTAACCCTAAACCCTAAATCCCCCTAAACCCTAAACCCCAAACCCCTAAACCCCCCTAAACCCTAAACCCTCCTAAACCCTAAACCGTTCTTGGGGCCTGGGGGCTTGCTCTTCGAGGAATCTGTTGGGTGCTTGAGCGGCTGGCCCTTTACGTTCCGAGTCTTTCAGAGCGATTGCTGCAGACTAAAGCTTAGGGGCTGAGTAGTATAGTAGGATTATATAGGCCCCAAAAAGGTTACAGGTTACGTACTCAGCCCCTTAGAAAACCCTAAACCTACCTCTATGGATTCAAGGTGCAGGTTCTCGGGGTGTAGTTGTACCATATTTGCCTGAATGCTTGGCAGAGGGGTCTGGGGATTGGTGTAAATGGTATGATTGTACTCAGAAAACATAAAAAAAATATTTTTGGTAATTTCTCCCGAATTCCGAAACCCCAGACCCTAAACCCTAAACCCCAAGCCCTAGACCCCAAAGCTTTTTGTCACCCTAAACTCTAGAACCCTAGACACTAAAAACCCCTTAAACCCCTGAACCCTAAACGCCTGAAGCCCCTTAAACCCTTAAACCCCTGAACCCAGGCTTTCCTTGGCCCTGCCTGAAGTCCCTGCACGAAGGCTCGGTAGTCGACGCAGTCCTTTCTGACCGGGTCCTCGTCGATGCCGAAATTATAGACTTATAACTTATAAGTATCATGGCCCCAATTAGGACCCCCGCGCAGGCTACGTACGTAGTGATGTCATACCCACTTGCTATAGGTCCCCTGACCCTCCCAGACCCCTCATAGAACCCTTATATACCCCCTATAGACCCTTTTGAGGTACTGATTATATGGACCCCCTATAGACCCCTTTGAGGTACTTATACATCTACTTATCAGGGCTCTTGAGTCTTCATCCTGAGACCTCAATGCAGTCTCAGGTTAAGGCTTGTGACTTGAGGGTTTAGGCAACAAAGGCTTGGGGTTTAGGGTTTAGGGTTTAGGGATGTTTAGGGTTGAGGGTTTAGGGTTCAGGGTTGAGGCTAGAGGGTTTAGGGTAGAGGGTTCAAGGCTTCGAGATGTGGGGCGCATAGTTAAAGTCTTAGGCGTCATGCTTCTGGCCAAAGGTTTGGGTAGTAGGACGGGCTTCGGAGGCCTATACCCTAAGGTTCCAAGTACCTGATAATCATATACTCTCCTAAACATTAACCTAGACAATTACTATCCGTAAGCAAAGTACCCTATTATTGGGTCCTTTGGACCCTTAGGGATAGGGCCATCAACAGCTGATCGCCCGTGGGGGAAGATGGAAAGGGTAGCTGTACCCAAAGGCTCCATAGTAGCTCCTTCTTGGGATTGCCTTCTAGGATCCTAGATATAAGCCATAAAAAGGAACTACTATGGAGCCTATGGGTAACAAGGTTTATGTACCTATCGAATGAGGTGATGAAGCAAACTCAAGGCGACAAGCGCAAGACTGTCTCCAATGTTTAACAACAAGAACCAAGTGCACCTTCCTTCGCCTGGTTTTCTCCCGCTTCACCCTGAAAGCTTGTTGCTCATGGCTTTCCAAGAGGGTCCATGTATGTCCATGTACACTACGATTCTGGAAATAGGTCCCTAAACCATGATTAACATGGATGGTCTTTTGGAATCCAATGCCACAATGCTAGTAAATTATGGACCCGCTGGCTGCACCTTGGTGGTTATTCACCCTGAGCCGTAAGCCCATAACTCGAAACACCAAATCCCAACCACAAGCCCCAACAGCCTAAATCCTCTAAGCCCTGCTAATCTCGAAAGCAAAGCTTCAACTACTATGATTCCGCCCTCAACAAGCCGTCAACCCCTAATGCAAGAAACCCCCAACATCTGGTATCCAAGACCCTACCAAACGTCATACAGGAGTGCTTAATCCTACCAGAATAGGATTCACAGCATATACAACCACCTGAACCAAAACAAAAACACTAGAATTCTACACTCAAACACCGAAAAATCCGAAAAACCCTAAACCCTGCGTACCCGCCCTAGCCTCAACCCAAACGCCCTGAACCCTCACTGACACCCTGAAAAGCTCCGAAACCCTAAACCCTGAAACCCCCAAAGCCCTAAACCCCCAAACCCAAACCTCAAAGCCCTGAAAACCCCAATGAGCTCCTGGAAGAGCGCCCCAAAAGTGGCCAAATCTGCGGGATCCATTTGGGGAAGCAAACGCCGGAGCACGGCCTGCTGTTGGCTGTTGCTTATGGAGATTTCTATAAGGCTTTATGGCGATCGTCAGGGCTTTAGGAACTGCGTCGCGGAACATGGGGACTTGTGGATTTCATAGGGAGTGGAGTTCATAGGGATTTATGGGGTTATGTTTCGTGCTGAGGCTGCCTTTTCATTAGTTCAATTCAAACTTTAAGGGCGGCATAGGTCTTACGGTTTGTGTAAGGGACCTTCGGAATCAGGACTGAATCAAGTACGGTTTACGGTTTACGATTTCGGGTTTAGGGTTAACGGTTTGTGGTATAGTGGCTGTTTAAAGATCCCCAACACGAAGAGGGACACGACTTCGCGCTTGGGGACTGGGTCATGGGTGGACAGTCAGCTGTCTCGTGGCCCAGCAAGTAATTCTCAACTGAAGCTCATTCTTGGTATACCCGAATGTCATAGTGGCTGAGCCAACTGGCCAGCAATGAAACCGTGAAGTCATTAATTAAGCCGGAGCATTGTACTTCAAGGCTGCCAGGAATAGTAAACAAAGGTCTAGCAAGTCCTAAACCAATCCGGAAACTACAGACCTCGACAAGTGGTAAAGTCTACCAAAACCCTAAACCCTATAGTAACCCTTCCAACCCTAATTCTGTCTGCCCTGAAGGAGGCCTAGGGCAGCCCAACATCTTTGGGGATCAATACCAATATAGTAGGTCCTGTAGTAGATATCTTAGCCCCAAGCGCAGTTACTATACTACTGCTTGGACCCCGTGGGATCATGGTGTGCGAGATTGAGGCTTCCCAAAGAGCATGGGAACGGCTAGACGAGGCTTTGGGGCCGAGATCTTTCTCCCCGAAGTGCTCGAGCCGGAATCTTGTGTTGCAGCTGCGAAGTCCTAGGGTTTAGGGTTTAATTAAGGATTGATTAGGGATTAGGGCTTCATGACCACAACCCCGGCCAACCTTCGACACAAGCAGTTGTGAGTTTGTGTCTCGCTGCAGCAACCCGCAAACTTCACAACTTCATTGAGCATGTCTGTCAGAAACAATGGGATGATACATCAATGCTTCAAGACTGCATCGTTGCCTTTGTCATCATGTTCATCACAACGATGACCATCACCACCATCACGCCCAAAGCAGTCAGAGGTTGGGACTGAATGCTACACTAAGATAAGCTTACGCTTGATTTCATTGTCATTACGACACCGACTCAGCAACGCAACAACGCTAGCTCGCAAAGACTGGCCTGCATGTTGCTATTTGTTCTTGCAGTTGCCCACGACTCATTGCATGCATTGCGGGGGGGCGGGGGTTGGGGGGTGCACTTCTGGCGCATCCCGGCGATCATGGCAATGACCTCAGCGGAATTCCGGGTGCCTCCTGCGCCAGTCTCCAAGTGACAACCAACCAAGCATCTTGGTGTGCTGTTCTGAAGTGGGTTGCCTTTTAGGCATGTACCCCGCAGTTCATCAGCACCTAGAAGGCATGATATTGCCAGAAGCTGCCTTCAACTGCTGCTAACATCCGCTTGTAGAGATCTAGCGACATTGCTGCGATCAGTCTAATTCCTTGAGAAGGTTTTCAATGCTTTCAAGCAAGCTTCGTAATTTCGGCCGAGCCTTCAGAAGCCCATCGGCCCGGTTGGAAGGTGAATAAGGTCCAAAGGGGCCAAGCATGTCGTCGACAGAAGCCATGCATTTGGCAATCTCATCCTTTATCCCCATGAGCCGATTCAGTGTATCTTGCTTTTGGAGGACCAACTCGAAAAAAGTCTCCGGCGCAGATTGCCGGAGCACCTCCAAGTCCTCCTTCGTGCACTGCTTGGCCAGGTGCCTCATGCACCTTTGGTACTGTCTTTTGAGCCCGTGCTTGCTAGCTTGCAGGAGACGAGTAGTATTGGGCGGAAGATTAAGCAGCAGACCTTCACATGCTTGCTTGATGACCTCAACCTGGTAGTAGTCACTGATGGCAAGAAGCGAATCAGCGTTTGCCTCTGTGACTTTGTCGGTGCTCCATGCGCAAGGACCAAGTAAACTATAGAATACTTTGAACTCCTCTGTGCTCGCCACATCCACCTTGATGACGCCTTGCTGTGCTTCCTTCATGCCACTGCTGAACATGCGGTTGAACACAGGAGAAGCCACGCGGAGCAGATGAGAGCTAGCCAACATAGAGTTCTCAGAGTCTTCACCAAACTCCAAACGAACATCCCCGACCTGCTGTAGGCTAGCGGCTTCGTGCATGATGTTGTCGGCCGCCTGCTGCGGTTCCATGTCCTCTGCCGTTCTCTTGGTTCCCCTCTCCATGGTGACCTCTGCCCCAGCAACAAGCCAGCGATGCAAGAGGGTTTTGAGCTACACTGTACGCGATGGATAGAGGACTTATGATGGAACAAACCCTTGCAACTTCGTTGCCCGGTTGAAATCAATGCCCAGCCTGCAGACCTGAGAAGATCCAATAGGTATTTGTTGAGGTTTGAGGTACAATCTTTCAGAGCTACGCCAACCTGTTTAGAGTCGTGTTTAGAGTCTAGAGATTCCTAAGAGTGAGAAAGAATGCAACGCAATACTCGATGCCAGCGGAATGAACCGTGTGCGACCGAAACCTGCAGCGTAGATCGTACACAGTCGTACACCCTAAACCCTAAACTCCTAAACCCTAAACCCCTAAAGCCTTAACCCTAAACCCCTAAACCCTTAGCCCCTATTGACCCTAAACCCTCTATTTCGAACCTCCAAGCCCAAACCTCAAGACAACTGTTTGCGTGCCTATGAAGCCAACAGCTTCGAGCCCAGGCCGCAGCGAAACAGGGACAGATGTCTGCTTTAGAAAGTGAGCCTCGGAAAAATTAGAGCACCTAGAGTCTCCAAGGTAGTTGCCTTTTTGGGGGGGTAAATTTGTGTTCGATTGCAAGATCCTACCTAAGCACTTGCATTAAAACAGGATTACATTGGAGGCCTTGTATAGTAGGCTGTAGGAATTACACTACCAAGTTTCAAAGCTCTCAGGTTCAATACCCATCCATCCGCAACCCTGAACCTGAACTAAACACCTATGAGGTGAATCCTAGAATATTTGTGGCGAAAGCTTCCATATATAACTTGCATAACCTACTTAGAACGCTCTCTGGTCGACTAGATAAATCCCAAACCCTAAACCCTAAAACTCGAAAAGAACCCACACGACCTTCCCAGCCAACCTCAAAGGTCTCTCGTGGCAGCAATGGCGGAGGCACCTCCGCGGCGTCATGGTGCCTTGCCCAGAGAACCCAATACCGCTTAATTAATCAAGGAGTATACCTTAATCATAATATTAAGGCCCCTATAATTTCAGGTATATTCCTTCATTAAGGGGTATTGGGTTCTTGGGTGAAGCTCTGGCTTAGATGATAATCAGGGCCCCTAAACCCTAAACCCCGAACCATGCGGTTTATAGGAGCTGAGATTTTAGACTATATAATTAGGGCCCCTAAAACCTCAACCTCAAACCATACGGTTTACAGGATTTACAAATAATAATGTTTAGATCCATAGGGTTCACAGGGCTCACAGGGGCTCCAGTTTATAAGGCTCACAGTTTTCATAATGTACACAGGGCTGTTTTGGGGCTTACAGGGATTATTGAAGACCATATGGTCTAGTACCGGATCCGTGGCATCTGGGAGTTCTCGCTTCAGGTTTAGGCATGTAGGGTTTAGGGATTTATCGTTTCAGGTTTAGGGGTTTAGTGGAGAACATGTACTATGTACTGTCTACGCTTCAGAAACTCGCTATGAGCCCTGACTGTAAGGATCTTAGGTTGCCAAAAACTCCGGCATGTGACTGTGAGTATCTTAGATGCCACAGGCTGGCATATGGATGCGTTCCGACTTTCTGCCCCGACCTCTGAACTAGATGATGAAAACCAGGAAAGCTTGAAGCCCCGAAGCCTTCAGCTGAAGCGCCTTGCGCAGCGAGTTTAGGGTTTAGGTGTTCTTCTTCTGCTTTTCACGAGCTCGGTGTGATGTTAATAAGTGCCTTGCGAGCAGTTCACTCCTAACTCCAGGAAACACCGCGCAAAACGCACCACCCCCCCCCCCCCCAGTTGCCTGGGAATGGGGCAGTAGGTCCTGATGACCATGTCGCTGTACCTAAACAAACAGTCGGGTTCGATTTCCGCAGGGCTCCACGAGGACCCATGTTAGAGGCGCGGGGCTTTGCTGTGCCATAGCCGTAGATTTTGTGGATTTTGACAGCAAGCAGTTGCCTTTTGCTTCGCATGTGTGTTCCCGGTGTAAACCCTGTACACGGTGACATCTACCAAGATTCGAAGATGGGTGCCCTTGTTAAAGGACGGCGGTTCAAGGACGGCGCTTCCCAAAGACAGTTCGCAGGTCAACTGGAAGTTTCATGCAGGGTCGTAGGGTCTAGATTGCTGAAGGTTCAGATTCCCTAAACCCTAAACCCTAAAGGCCCTAAACTGGGATTCGGACTGACTGAGAGCTGGGTTCAGGGTCGGCAGCTACCGAAAGCTGTTTGTGGGGTTTGAGAGTATCGAATCTACTATAGGCGCCTTAATAATTAGAATAGGGTTTTGGGGCTCATTATACTATAATTACAATAAGGAACCACCAAAATAGTATCGGTCATTATTTAGGCCCCTACATTAGTTCCGCCCGTGCTTCCATCCAGTACTGCAGGACCGCCAGCCCAGTAAGACCAAGTCGTAAGCCCTTGCGGCCCCTCAACCCCCAGCTCAAGACCCACCAGCCCACACGCCATCAAGGCCCGAAGACCGATACCTACGACCGGCTTCCAAGTACTCGTCCGAGCATCTCAATGAAGCCCAATCCCCAAGGGTCCATGTACCCAAATAGTATATACATTGGCCCCCAAAGTACCTATATAGGGACTACATTATTAAGGCCAATGTATCTACTATGTGGCTACATGGACCCTTAGGGAATGTACTTCAAACAAACTATAGACTTCCGTATCCTCAACCCTGCCTCTCAACACCCTAAACACGCAGACCCCAAGTTCCTGAGCTTTAACCCTAAACCAAAAACCCTAAACCCTAAACCAAAAACCCTAAACCAAAAGCCCAAAACCCTAAACCCTAAACCAAAAACCCAAAACCCTAAACCAAAAACCCAAAACCCTAAACCCTAGTAACCCTAGGCAACAAATTATCCGGTATCCAAGCCGCAAGGATGTGGCATCGCCACGGCAGCACTGCGCCAGGCTCCGCTTTAAAGCCCGGAGTAGCCTGCACAGCATCACTCTACCCAGACCCCCCGGGAGCATCCAAAAAGTAGATTCCCTTAAGGGGGTTCCTCTAAAGTAGCCTTTAGTAGTTAGGGTCCCAAATTAGGGGATCTACTTTCTAGATCCTCCCGGGGGTCTGGGTATACAAAATGTTGCTGCAATATCTCTCGCATAGGGTTTAGAGTTAAGGGTTTTGGGTTTGGAGTTTAGGCTCTAGTGGTTATCTTAAGCTGTGGGTTTAGGGCCGTTGGGGGTTTATATTTCTCCTAAATCCTGATTGTCTGCGCCGTGAATACTGCTCGAGTGGACTCATTGCAAGACGCTCGAGCCCGAACTCGCAGCCTCCCTCTGATATTGGTTGGACTTGTCCTGATACACACATGTACATATTCACAGACATAGACACTCACACAGACGGACAGACCGGCAAACAGACAGACAGACCGACAGACAGGGAGGCAGATAGATAGATAGATAGATAGATAGATAGGTAGATAGGTAGATAGATAGATTGATTGATAGATAAGTAGATAGACAGATAGATAGATAGACAGATAGATAGATACATAGATATTCGATAGACAGATAGAAAGGTAGATAGACAGAAGGAGAGATAGGTAAATAGACAGATAGATAGATATACAGATAGATAGCCAGCTAACTAGCTAGCTAGCTAGCGAGATAGATAAATACACGTATAGATAGACAGAAAAAGCTAGAAAAGGAGATAGAGGGCGAGAGAGGGAGGTAGAGAGAACGATAAAACACTACATTATCTTAATGATGCTTCCTTGAGACCAGGGAATGGGTCGGAATGTGAAATGACTAGTGACTAGTCACAAAAAGTGAGAACAATGGCTTGAATCCTCCCAGCTTACATCAATCATTTTCGGTTGATGCGGAGCAACTGTAAAGCCGAAATAGCAGGGCCAAACAACACCCCCCCCCAATGCCCAAATCCAATCTATAAATCCCTAAGCGCCCCAACCCACAGATCCAGAATCTTAAAACCACGAGTCAAACCCGAGCCGCGAGTAACTCCTTGAACCATACTGGTCCTGAACTACATCTGAACCGTAGCAACGTATCCTACACCTCACCACCAAACCCTACAACATAGTGTGACACCCTCGCTCGTGACTAGGTTTTATATAGCCCTGAGAAAGGTCGGCAAGATCGTGCGTTTGGGATCACCCCCCATTCTCCCCGAAACCAAAACCCTTTCGGCTCAACCCTGAACCCTAAACCCTAAGCCCTGAACCCTAAACCTTCAACCCTAAACTCTAAGCCCTAAACCCTGAACCCTAAATACCCTAAATCCAAAACCCTACGCCCTAAGCCTGAGCCCAAAGTTCTAAGCCCAAAACCCTAAGCCCAAACTTCTACAGCCAAAGCCCCTCCCTGAAGACCCGAGGAGGCCTCTTCCCTGTCCGGCCGCTGCCGGCCTGTGCGGGCGTCGAGTGACGGGCGCCGTCCTTGGACTGCTGAAGCTCGCGTCCCTAGGGTTTAGGGTTTAGGGCCCCTAGGGTTTAGGGCTTTGGGTTTAGGGTCTAGGGTTTAGGGCTCCAAGTATAAAAGTAGTACCTACTTTGGGGTCTAAAGTCTGTAAATAGCACCTATTTTGGGCTATTTGGAGCCTCAGGGTGAACCTAGCTTATTTAATTGGGTGTAGTAGGGTCTACGGTTGAGGGCTTAAGACATAGACCTCAAATCAGAGCACGATCCCTAAAATGATTTACGGGACATTCCTTGCTTCAGGGATCTTGGAAGATCTGGGCTTATGGCCTTAATAGGCTGTTCGTGGATTCACGGGGATTCTGTGGCAGGCTTTCCAGGTTGCACCCGCACCCCTCACTCCGAACGACACGCCCTAAACCCGACACAATCCTAAACTCTAAACCCTAAAGCCGGCAAACCCAAGCCCTAACCTAAACTCTGAAATCCCTCAACCCCTAAACCCCTAAACCCCTAAACCCCTGAAGCCCTAAAACCCTAAACCCTCAACCCCAAGTCGGCCCAAGCTCCAAGTAGGAGGGGTGGTGATGCTGGTGATATGAAGGCAGTCGCTGCCTCGAGTGGATTTAGGGTTTAGGGTTTAGGGCGGAGTCAAGGTTAAACCCTGAGAACCGTGAATAGTTTAATGAATTTAATATAGCCCTAGGGCTCCAAGTATACAAATAGTACCTACTTTGGGGTCTAAAGTCTGTAAATAGTACCTACTTTGGGCTATTTGGAGCCCCAGGGTAGGGGCCTTCTTTCAGGGAGGCTGACAGTCCGATGGACGTGCCTATATAGGGGCCGTAGCAATTAACATAGGGTTCCTTTAAAGGTTCCTTTTAAGGGGTCCATAAAGGCTACCATGAGACTGTAAAAAAGGGGCCTCAATAATTGGAAAAGGGTTTCGGGCTAAAATATACTATAAATATGATGAGCAATCCCCGCAATGGTAATGGTAATTATTTGGACCCCTATATTCGGGCGATTAGGGCTTTGGGGCTTCAGGTTTTAGGGTTTAGGGTTCAGTGCTTTTGGGCATTACAGGGTTCAGGGTTGCATCGGGCCAAAACAGGTTCGGGTCTGAGATTGGAGGAGGGCTTTGCGGGTTAGGGATAGATCATAAGTAGGGTGGCAAGCAGGTCAACCCGACTCAGGCTAATACAGTGCTGTGTGTCGTTTTCTTGCTGAGTTCCTTGAGCCTCCAAGCAAGGTGCTTAGGGCGACTAAGGGGTTGAGGTTAGGACTGTGTTGCGGCTTAGGGCGTCCTTGTGCTCCGCTTTCGCGAGGTCTACAACCCACCTAGACCCCCCTAGGCAGCACACTGTGCACCGTGAAGTATTTAGGGCTTTGGGGTTTAAGGCGACTGAACCCTACACCTAAATCCCAAAGCCTAACTTGTCGCAACAATGAGGAAGACCGGATGTAGCTGGAGATTGCTTTTGACCGGAGATAGTCGGCTCGGGCGGAGTTTTTGGCACTGGGAATGGTCATGTAATGTAAGGGCCTTGTTAAGAAATACTACGCTTAACCAGACTCGGGCTGAGCGGAGATTATTACTAATCATTCCGGCCCCTAGATTATGGTTTTGCTTCCACTGCCCATTTCATCTGCACTTCAACCCTGAACCCTAGTCCCGAAACTAAAACCCCTGAATTAAGGTTTAGGGCTGGGTACTGCCCCCATACAGTAACAGTCGATAAAAGGCTACTACTAAGGGCCTTATATATCCATATTATGAATATTACTCAGCTGTTACTGAGTAGGGGCAGTATCCAAGGCCTAGGGTTTAGGCCCGATGTCACAGTATTTTGCGAACAACTGCACCCCATAAGTACTACTGACGTAAACAAGCCTGTAGAAGCCTGAATAACTAGCAATCGCGTTCCTTACTCTTCCTGCTAATAGTTATAACTATAGACTAGAATAATAGAGTAATGTACCCCGAGATAGCCCGAACTTCACTTAAAATTGTTAAAGCCCCTACTTGGAGGGTCGGGGGACTTAGTAAGTGGGTAATAAGTAGACTTATAAGTACCCTAAAAGGGGGTCTTAAGTCGGGTTATGAGACTTATAAGTCTATAAAATAACTACTTACTAAGTCCCGCGACCCTCCAAGCATACGATGTCGGCCTGTCCACGGGTCGCAGGCCATCAGGCAGCTCTTCGTCCTCCTGCAGTGCTTCGGCGGCTAAGGACTTGCAGCGTTTTGGGTCTTGGCGTTTTTGTTTCGGGACAGGATCTGGGGTTGAGGGTTTAGGGGTTTAGGGTTTAGGGGCCCATGATGTTTAGATCCGGGTGCTGGGAAGTAGGTGGGAATCCTGTACCCCAAGAGTCCCGTGGTTTTTCTTGCTGTCGGAGTCCTGGTAACTCTAGGTCCGAAACCCTAGACCCTGAAATCCGCTAACCCCTAGACATTTTTAGGCGGACGCGGAAACTCCTAAATCCCTTTATCCAGCAGCATACGTGATCCTCTACTAAGATCCCTGTATGCTGTCTTGTAAAGCATATTCCATAGTTCCAGAATCCAAGAGTAGTCTTAGCGACGGGAGTGTGCTTGTTAAATCGGGCTACTATGTTGCTGGGAGTGTGCTTGGGGATTATGGGTTCCGGTGTACTTGTTTGAAGAGTTCGGTTGCTGTTGCCTGTTAGGGGTTAAGTAAGGTTTAGGCATGCCGCCCTAAACCCTAAACCCTGAACCCTAGTTTTGTAATTAGGCGCTGGGAAGCCGGAAAAGTTCAACCAATCACAAGGATGTCCCCGGATCCTCGGACAGCCGATGTCGCAACCAGCCTGCCGGGGTTCTGGTTTAGGGTTTAGGGTTCAGGGCTTAGGGTTTAGGGGGAAGATCAAGCATTTCAGCCGTGTTGGCGTCCCCATGTAGGGTTCAGGAAGGTAGAGTTCAATGCTTCATGTTGTACTGAATTAGGGCTTGAGATTGAAGGTGTACCTGATTCGTCCCCAGACCCAAATCCCTAGAAGCCCCGCGCACTCAACCTTTTGGCTCTAATATCCACCTATCAAACCTTCATCCAACACCTGGCTAAATACGGTTGATGGTATAAATCTTCCATTACCCATAATAAGGAATATACCATACTTCCCATAGTTTAGGGTCCTTAAGGTAATGCAGGATGTCACTTGAGCTCAACCTCAAGGTTTGGCGCCACAGGTTAGCCCAAAACCCACCTGCCCAGAAACCCTGGCTACCCCAGATCCTCCAGAATACCTTGAAGATTAGGGATCCCTACTACACCATAATAATTTAGGGAATATAGGGTCTAGGGTTTAGGATTTAGGGTTTAGGTTTTAGGGTTCCTTAATTAAGGGATACTGGAAGATCTGGTTAAACCGTGAGATCCTAGGCACCTCAACCCAAAACCAGACCGATCAAGCGGTGTCCGCGGCCTTCAGGTAAGTCCCAGGCACGTCGCAGAAGCTCCTGAGGCACAGTGCCCCCTAAACAATTAATCCAAAGGCTCCAAGTATACAAATAGTACCTACTTTGAGGCCTAAAGTCTATAAATGGTACCTACTTTGGGCTATTTGGAGCCCCCTAAACCCTTAATCCTAAAGGTCCATGTGCCCAAACAGTCTGTACTTTGGCCCCAAGTTGCCCATAAAGTATGTAGGCCTAGGGCCTAAACCCTAAACTTTAAACCCTAAGCCCTAGTAGCCCTAGGATCCAGCGGCTAATGCCTTACACCAAATTGCTTGACCGACTGTTCAGGGACTTTCAACACCCGGCTGTTTAGGGTTTAGGGTTTGGGGCCTAATGATTTGATGAAGAGGGAGTCTATGAGGGTTACATTATGGGGTATCCAAGATTCTGTGATGTGGAGGCGGCATTAGTGTGTAAAATCAGGTTTCGGGGTGTATGGTAGTGTACTAATACAGGGACTGCAAGGACACTGCTAGACACTACTTACAGAACTTGTAGTACTCAAGCCTGAAGCCACTGTAAAGACACTAGTAGACACTACTTACAGAACTTGTAATATTCAAGCCTGAAGCCCTTGGCCTTAACATCATAGATCTTCAATCCTGCAGCGCAAAACCCTGAGCCTGACCAACTTAGGAATCTGCACCTGATCTCACCCGCACACCCACGCGCACACACACACACACCCACACCGAAAACCTCAAACCCCGACCTCGAAGTACTCATCTGAGTCGATTCCCACAGAGAGCCCTTCGTAGTAACGCTCCTCAAACGCCGGAGGTTTGTATGTTGTGGGTAGTTCAGGGGCCTCGCTGATCAGAAGGGGGCTTCGGGGCACAGTACCGTCTGGTGATGTACGGACTACAAGATACTAGAAGGGAACATGATGAATTGGCATGTCAGGTGGTGGCGTTTGTGCGAATTGACCCAGGATTCTGATCAAGGAGGACTGGATCAGGAGCCTCAATATTCCTAGAACAGCATCTTTCTATGACCCCAACCTTCTTGGGGCAAAGCTGCTTTGGGCTTCTAGAGGTTGCAATATAGGGGCTTTATAAGACATAGAAGATATCAGCATGAGATAAGGAACTGTAACACGACTATTGCAAATTGCCCATAGGCTCCATAGTAGTTCCTTTTTGGGCTTACCTTATAGAATCC